AGATACTGAAAGGAATACAAGATGCTTCAGTTCCTTTCAATGAGACTTCTACAAGAGAATTTAGTGGATTTTATCCCAGATTAATTAGTGGCAGAGGAAAAAACAAAACACTCTGGATTTTCCACCTCAGGTACCACCATGCTTTGAACTAGCACCCAGACATAAGCTTGTGCAGATTCTATTACGTTTATCTGTGGTGTTGTTATTGATGATGATGATCTCCTCAAGTCAGTCACCCCAAGATTCAAAGCTATATAGTAAACACATATTTTTATGTAGTCTCAATCGTGGGGGTGAGTATGCTGATGGGGCGAGACAGGGCCGGCTCTCCCATTGGGCAGAGTGAAGCAGCAGCCCCAGGCAGAGGTTGGAGGAGAGAACGGTGACCTATTCAGCCTCTTCTGCTGCCTTCCAATGGGATGGAAGGTGTCCCATCATCGGCACTGAGACAGGTTTGTCTGCAAGTCCACTCAGCTTCTTCTACCTTCTTCTGCCAAGGTTTTCTGCCTTGGGCAGTCAAGTGTCCTGGGCCAGCCCTTGTGGAGAATATGAAAATGTGAACTCCCCACAACCAAAGGTTGCCCCCACTTCAAGCTGGGTTCAATCCAACTGGGCCTGACTTAAAATGGGTTTCAAATCCCCCTTCCTGTCAGTCATCCTCTTTTCCCTTAACTGCAAATAACATGCTATGTGTATCATTTTCTGCTAGGAATCATGGGACTTGTAGTCAGCGGAGAAGAGGTCCCCAAGGCCTGTCCTGGGCACCTTCCTGTCCTCCTCTGCCACTTACTAGACCCCTTTCTTTGAGGCAAGGCTTTCTTTTTCCATGGGGTGTGGGGGGGAGCTGTCAAGGAAGTGGAAGAGGCAGAGAAGGAAGGAATTGGGCTATTCAAGAACTGGGTATAGCAGTCATCCTTTTGCCTTTCAAATATATCACCTCTAGAACATTCAGCATACCCCAGGCCCTTCAAGCTTTCTCATCTTTTCATATCCCCAAAAGAGCATCAACACTTCTCTCGATAAGTCCCCTGCCCACAGTCCCTGCTGCCTGGCCTTTCCTGGCTTCTTGACCTCCAAGCTGTGCATTCACACAGTCCACCAACACATTCCCTCCCCACCCACCAATCCTGTAGCACACCAGCACTCCTGCCTCTAGGCCATATGCAAAATTTCCCCCGGCAATCCCACATTCCATGTTCTTCATCTGTTGTATTTATTTGTTTATTATTTTCATCATTTCCTTCCCACTCAGCAGTTAGAAAGAAACATTCACAAACATTCTGTACACTCAAACATCTGTGATTGTTGGAACCAAGGAGACATAACCACCCTGGATATTCCCAATACTGCTGTGGGCTTAGCCTTTGGGCAAAAAGATTATTGCTATTATTGCTGCAGTTCCCATTGTGTGTGGCTGAACAACACCACAAGCTTTCAAACAACGTAGGGGAAGGTGGGAAATGGCTTGGCTCGGCTCAGCATGCCCATGCGATGGCATGGCCACAAAAGCTGCAGCCAACCAAGCAAGACTGGCCTCCATCCCCTTGGCTCCCTCCTGGAAGCGTATCTTGCTGTGCTTTTCCTCCTCACTCTGGTGGGAATAGTGGAACTTCATCAGCTGCAGAGGGACAGAAACCAGGGAAAGCAGCTCATCTTAGGGCTTCCAGGCCTCTCTTCACCAAGTTGGAAGAACTGGCTGGTTTCCCTCTCCTACAGCTGGCCTTGATCAAGGCCTTCGGGCTACAGCCTCTCCACACTGGCAAGGTTCTCATGTGCCATGGAAGAGCAAGGGCTGAATTTGCGGCGGTGGCTGCTGCTGCTGCTTTCTGCCCTCTAATTAACTCTTTTCTGAACTGCAGCGTGTCCGTCTCCTCACTCCAGCCCATCTGCTCTCTTCGCAATGCAATAATTTCTGTCTAACTTGCTGCAGATCAGCCTTGTCTGACTTTGTCCCTTTCCAAGGAGATATTTTATCCCTACATAAGGTGCCTGAGAACATGGACAGGGTAACTCTCAACATGCTTTGGGATACTGTCTAGTCTTGTCGTTTCACACGATCCCAGGACATATTAAATACCAAACCTGTAAAAGGAATGGTGCCTGGATCCAAGCTTGCCTAAACCCATGTTATCCTTGGGTTATGAAACACTGGGGGCAGAGGTCATGCCCCATAGAGCACTCTCTGATTCATGGATTCATAGCCATCGATAGACATTCATCCACATGAATACCCTTAAGAGTTTACTAAAACAGATCAGAAGAATAATTTTTGCTTCATCCATTAGCACGTAATAACGTGACACAAGCGACACGCTGGTGAGACCTGGCTAGACTAGGCCAGAGCAGCTCACTGACCCTTCTCTTGACTTTCCGAATTCTCCTCCTGGGTGAATCCTGAAGAATCCCTACTTTCATCTGTCAATGCCTGGGGTGGATGGCATTTTGTCTTAGTACCTGAGCAGGGAAGGGGCTCATCTACAGCCAGCCTGTAGCCTATTATATAACACAGACCCAAATCATCATAAGGATTTCATCTTAGGCAAGCAGCAAATTATGGATTGTTTGGAACTCTTTGGACTGAGCAAGAGGGAATCTGCAGATGTTGTTCTAAACTCCAACACTGATACCTAAACAGATCCGGTCTCAGGAATTGCAACTTTACCAGAAGATGGTTTGAAAAGTGTCAACTTGTCTGCTGATATTTTCAGAGCAAGGCTTGAAAATACAATCCGGTTGTAAAACGAAAAGCCTTAATGCTTGCAGTGTGGCATTGCTTACTGCAATCCCAGTAGCGGGTGGCAATATTGTCTATTTGGTGCTGCTATTATCAGGCCATAGAAGCTGTTCAGTTCTGCAAACAGAAATCACCACATGGGTGCATTTCTGTTGCTTTGGTTCCCGAGAGATTCCAGCTCAGACCGATGTTTTAATGCAGCTGGAAGCTTCCAAGAGGGTGTTTCTAATATTGCTCAAGTTATGGACCAAAGTTGGCCATGTGACTGGCCGGAATAGGTAAAGGCTTGCTTGCAGGTCTGAAGTGTGTTTCAATTCATAGTAAAAAGGGAAGACTACTTAAGAAAAAAAGCTACCTTAATGTACAAAGGGACAAATCATGGATTTGCACAAAGGAAGGCCAGGATGGTTCCTGTTACAATGGATACACAGCCTGATTAGATTGGCAAATCCACTGAAGTTAACCCCTGTCTTCCATGGCCAGTCCAGAGTCTCTCAGTTTCGACTCCTTAAAGGAATTCAGCACAGGACATGCAAGCTCACGTGTGCACACAAAAGGAAAACTCATGGCATTTATGATTCGCAGGATGCTTTTTGGGGGGCAGGGCCCTTGTCCAACACTGCTTGCTACCAGATGCCCCTTCTAGGACATCATGCTGTACGACAATAAAGCATTTGTGTCGACAAAGCAATTGTCCACAGGACAGAATCAAGAGGCACTCACTGGCATGGTCACCCCTGCCTCCTCTTGTACATTCAGCTTCTCCGCCAACCTGAATGATCACAAAGGCACCACATGCTTTCTATTGTTAAACTTAAACCTACTTCAGGAGTCACCCCACTTGCAAAGCTGGGCATGTCACACAGGCCTTTTGGAGGGCTGCGTTTCTGCGGGAGTTGGGGGCAGGAGGGCCCTTGCAGCAGGCAGGCAGTTCTCAAGTCTCTCTTCTCGAAACAAAGTCAAGATGAGGGTGCGGAGCCACAGAATCCCATCCTGACTTCTGCAGTGGAAAGGCAGCCTCTGGGGCCGTGTTCTAGTCCCCTTTAGAAGCCCGGAACTAATCACTAGAAGGAAAGTCAGACCATGTCCCTTTAAATGCCTGCATGCTGCAGTACGCACTGACTGCAGCCAACTACACACAGCCTCCGATGGTCTCGCCTTAGTGCTTTTTTGCATCATGCCCAGCGCTGCTCTTTGTAGAAAAGGGAGGGAGGGTGGGGTGGGGTGGGGTGGGAAGAAGCGGCCACCCAAGGCACGGATGCACCATATGCACAAGGGGAATCTATAGCGTGTCCTTTAAGGAAGCACATGCATGGCCACTTAGAGCCAATTCGGTTATTAACCCCTTAGGGAATATCACAAAGGCACATGAAAATGCAGTGCACCCTCAGTCGCCTGTTCAGACTACAGGCATCCGAGCTATTTGAAAAAGAACGTGCCCGGCCCAGAAACCACCAGCAGGCCTTTTTCTGCCGCTTCAGGTGTCCTCTTAAAGGGCAAGCCCACACACCTCTCAAATGGAGCATCTGTTTTTAAGGATGGTGCTTCCATCCTCCCCTCTTGGGGTCTTTGCAGAAAAGAAATAAGAACTGACTGAATAAGAGCTTCCATCAAAATTCACCAACAACCAGTGCAGTGGACTTAATTCCCAGGTCCAGCAATGAAGGGGGGGGGAATTCTGTGATGTTAAGCCCCTCTTTTAACCTAACAAAAGAAAGTTGATAGCATCCATTGATTTCGATATTATTCCCCCATAAAGGGGGCCTGTGAGCTAAAAGACGACGGCACAGTATCTCATTCAATAATTTCTGTTTAAATGGATGTAGTCAAAGGCAGCATGTGACACAGTATCAACACAAAGAAGCCAGCTATTTTTGCACACATTCACACCAGCTACAGATCAACTATTTTGCTCCCCACCAGAGCTGCACAGGTTATTTGTTTAACCCGTAAAATGCCCCTTTCCGAACTGGTGTATATTTCGTTTAACAACAGCCTTTCAGCCCAAGACAATGTGAAGATCTGGCTTGGAATGGACCACCTGGGCTTTCACTGCAATAAGTCTAGAATCTGACTTTAAAAACCCATTTGCCTCTCAACGCACCCCCTCCCCCAAGTTGTGGTTCAGTGACATTTCACAGTCCTAACAATGATCCACAGCCTCCAAGTCACACACGAACAAGATCGCTGAGTTCTTGCACTGCAGTGGGGGCAAAGTAAAACAAAGGAATCCATGTAAAGAATTTGCAAGTACAAATAAAGGTACCTTCTTCTTCCGATCCTTGGATCTTTTCCTGTGTTTCCTCTTTTTCTCAGTTTCTTCTTCAGGGTTAAGTTCTAAATCTCTGTTTTTCTTGATCTGAGATGCTGCGTGAGCCATGATGCATTAAGCACAGCCTTTGCAATAATCCTTCCTGGTATATAAGGTGAAATCCTCAGGCACCTTTAACCAGCCTTTAGGAGCAATGCCTGGAAGAAAAGCTTTGCCCAGAGCCAGGGAGACATTCAGGATTCAAAGGTCTGGATGAGGCTGGCAGATGCCACAGAAATCTCTGCTTGCAGATGTCTTCCTGCACCTTTCAGCACCTGAACCTTGGCAAAAGAGTGCAGCCATCCTAGTGCATTTAATGTGATGAGGAAGACAGCTGGGACAGAGAACGCTGTACGATGGCTGTATCTCCTGCCACCAGCTGGAAGTGTCTAAGTGATTCCACGGAAGGGGGTATGCTGGAAACGATGGCTTCCTCGGAGAAATACTCCAAAGCAACAACTGCTCCAGCATCAGTGTTCTTCTTCAGTAATCCTCAGACCTAATTTGGATATCCACCCGCTGCAAATGACGGCTATGATTTATACTCCCTCAGTTTGCTTTGCATGGTGAGCCACTTAACCCACAATGAAATGGAGCAGCTCCTGGTTTAGATTAAGTGCTGATGGTGACAAATAAATAAATAAATGCCCCCCCTTTACCATGGAGACCCTGACTGCATTATGCAGAAAACAATGCATGCATTGCTATATCTTGACAGTGTGTCCTTTATGCTGAATGCTCAATCCTGCTGTAAGGATTACAGAAAGCACTGTTGTCTTGCTTGCTTGCTTGCTTGCTTGCTTGCTTGTTTAAACGCATGCTTATTACAGCACATCTTGGGAGGGGAGGGGAGGGGAGGAAGATGTGATCATACCAGTGTATGAAACAGGGCACCTAATTCATCGGAAATTTCCTGGCACTTTCCTTTTCTGTGATCAAAGGAGGGGAGAGGGAATCCCCCCACCCACAAAAAAAAAAAAAAAAAAATCAAGAATCTGTGTAACAAGACCTCTTTCCGTGCATCCAGCAATGTAGATTTAGGCTTTTATGGCAGAGTTTGCTTCAATCACCTTGCTATTTTTGCCACCTGAGCCCTCAGTGACTGCAGCTTTTGAATATTCATTATGGGAGGTAAAATAGCATCAGTATAAAAGGCCTGTAGGGGCACTTTTTCCAGGACCGTGGACTCTGAGCAAATCCAGGCAATTTGCCCACGAGGTTTTTCTCTGGGTATGAATACCCACGGCTAGCTGGCATGAGGCACACATGGAAGATAAATACATATTAATGCCTCTGTGTGTGTGTGTGTGTGTGTGTGTGTGTACATACACACTCACACACGGTATTTACTGTACCAGCACCATTGAAATCAGACAAGGAAGGAAGCAGCTTATCAAATGGAATCAGCAGCCCTTTTAAGAGGCATTACAAGCATGTCTCCTGATGAAAGAATAGCCTTGCTGTAAACGCAGTGCACCATCCAAGGCATGCTGGAATCCCAGTGCTTGTGACAAAGGGCTCAGCGATTTCCCCGGGGACCACCAGAGGCATCCTGTGTGTGTGTGTGTGTGTGTGTGTGCACGTGTGTGTTGTCCCACCCCCACCCCTCCCAAAGGCTGAAGCTAGACAGAATCTCCCCCGCGCGCTTCTCCTACATTACCTCTTCTCCCTCTACGTATATCTTGGGAGTGCTGACCCACTTCTTCGCCTTCCCCACTCAGCGCAATGCAGGATGCTGGATGCCCTTCTCTGTCTGCTGGTGACTGATGGGGCTGGAGGTCCAACTCTTCACCTTTTCGTTGGCTTGGCGCTTCCCTGGGCTTCTCCCAGTAACTTCCAGAGAACCCTAAAAGCACCCTTCAGGCCTGCATGCCCTTATTCACTCCCTTTTCTCTTTTTGTCCTTAGGCGCAGGACACAAATACGCTTCTAGAGAAAGACTGCCACACAAGGGCAGGACACTGCTTTTCCCACAGAGGGCCTCAGGTTCACCCGCTGCCAGCTCCAGGTAGGCGAGGAAAAACCGCTGCCGGAAGCCCCGGAAGCCTGCTGCCAGGTTGTGTTGTAAGACTTGATCTTCAGTCTTGTGAAATTAGCATTGCCAGTTTTGGCTTTTTCACAGGCCGCCCCTCTCAAGGATGGACCAAAAGAGAGAACCAGGCCAGGAAAAGCCATGTAGCAGGTCATGGTTGAAGTCAGGACAGGGTCAGGTGAGTTATAGTGGACAGAGGTTGGTAGAACTTAGGTAGAGGGAATTGTGCTTTCAGGTTTCAAGACTGGCTCCCTGGTAGAACAGCTTTCACTGGGCAGACCGATACAAAAATGTACGTATTTATTTAAAACACTGGTATCATATAAAAAACTGCTGATACCACTGAAAATACAGGGAGTCCCTGAGTTATGAGCTACCCATACTTACAACCATGCACAGTCTATTAATTTTTAAAAATTGCTATGGAAAATTGGCATCACCATAGAGACAGAGGAAGCAAACAGGGAGAGAGGGAGGCCTCCAGAACTTCACCATAGAGAGAGAGAGGAATCAAAAGGGGAGAGAGAGAGGCTCCCAAAATATACCTTCCTGCCGCACTCATCTGGAGAAGGAAATCTCTCTGGCATTTCCTTGTTGGAAAGAGGAGACACTGGTGAAGTTTGGTGGGGAGCTGGAACTAGAGATATTTATTGTTTTCCCAGTTTCACGGGGGTCCTGTGCCCCTAACCTCTTTGAATGTGGAAGGCTGACTATACATGATCCCACTTACATATAAATTTATCTTAAAGATGAATTTCCATTTTCTCAGGAACAGAAATCACTCAATACCCCTGGACTGGCTGTATAAACGAACCAAATACTAGGAAAAAAAAAATAAAACCATAAAACCATCCAGGGAAGACCAGCAGGAAAAAAAAGAGCTAAGCATGGACCAACAGCCCTTCTAATCAATCAAATTAACACCATATTAGTAGACTAAGTGGGGCAAATGGACCTTCTGCGGGAGGGAACTTCATGGCATGGAGTGTTGTAGCTGAAAAAACTGTGCCACACAACCTCTGTTAACTTCCAAAAGCAAGGGAAGGGGACACAGAGCTCACCAAAGAACAAGGCAGGGTCTTATGTGTCCATTTCTGGTTACCATGTTTTAAGCACACTGCAAAACTAGACTATGCCTGGAAGCAGACAACCAGGGGTGTGAGGAGTTGGCAGATCCAGCCTGTGAGAATTGGCTGAAAAGGCTGGATATTTTTGGCCAGGAGAAGAGAAGAGAAGATTAAGGCAAGGCATGCCAGCTGTCTTGAGTTAGCTAAAGGGTGGCTATCCAGAAGATGAAGCAGATGTGTTTGCTGTTGCTCCAGAGACAAAAACCTGTGGATGGAAAGTTCCAGGAAACAGATCCTGGCTAAACATTAGCAGAAACTTCCTAATGGTATGTGATTTTTTGGTGGTGGAACATTCTGCCCCAGGAGGTGATGGGCTCTCCTTTACTTAAACTTCACTTAGGCATAGGCTGCTTGTTAGTTTGTCAGGACTGCTGTGGTTCCAACGTCTGTGAAGGCAGCAGGGGATGGACTGGATGATCTCTAGCACCCCTTCCCATTTTAAAATCCCCTCCCACCATGATAAGATTGAGGTCCTTGGAACTGGGTTCACAAAACATGACAAGCAACCATGTGTGGTTACATTTACAGTTTTTTTAGCATGATCAATCTGACAGACGGTCAAGGGTTTACTATATTATCATGGTTTCTATTATTCCAGCTCAGTCTTCCTGCTGTTGAGACATATCCCATCAGCCACTGCACCTGAAATTCAATCCCAAGCTGCACTGTACCCCGCCCACACTGCATGCCTTTCCCACATTGGTCTATACAACTGCTGCTTGGCAAGGGAAGACTGTGATGGCTAGAGAGGCTATAAAGTGGCAGCTTTTTCCAGGAGACGCTGTGATAGTTGCATATCAGGACCATGGAAATTACAATCCTGGTTCAGTTAACACGACAAGCCATGGAGGTACAGAGAAACCATAGAACGCACCATTGTTTCTTACCATGGTTTCGAAAGAGCAAACATACCATGGTGAAATACCATGATTCAATCCAGCTGGAGAACAGGCCAACAATGGTTTAAAAAAAACACCAACATGGCTTGTTGGATTGTCCGAACGCAGCCACTGGGCATTGCACAAAAGGTAATCCAAAGTCAAGGGGAAGTAGGTACAGATAAGAAAGCACTCCAACAGGTGCTAGGGCTGCTGCAGTACAGATGATCAGAGGGCCCAGGAAGTCAAAGCTGACCTGTAAACAGGAGCTTAGAGGAGCCGCGGCCACTGCTGCTGGCTGGATGTGAGAAGCACTGATGGCCAGAAGACAGGAAATATTCCAGGGAACCAATGGAGAAAGCAGACAACTTAAAAACCCCTGCAGGATTCACAGCAGCGCCAGATGCTGAGCAAAACAGCCTTTGGATGTCATTAGTACAGGAAGGCAAATGGTCAGGCAGTTTCATTTACAAGTATATATATTTTACCACAGAGGGTCTTGTTTTCAGTCACCTGCCTCAAGACACAAAACGTCTTGGGCTGGCCCTGCCTCAGCCTATTGAAAGCAGCCACGCATGAAATGCAGTAAGTGGGTCACTGCAGCCCTTACCAGCTATTCTCCAGTCCTCACCCCTTAAATATCTAAACCAAAAGCAACCACTTTGCACAAAAGATCATACATTTCATGTGTGTGTGTCAGTGCTGCCTCTTGCAATACTTTCCGTGTTTGCACACAGACCAGACTTTGATTGCCAACCCTGTCACAAAGAATGCTTTGCAGACATTACCAATTATCGCAACAGAAAGCTGTACTTGCTGGCCTGTGTCATGGAAAGTGATCCACTCATGATAATCAACATTAAAGAAGGAGGGTAATTAAGGAATCACCCGAGCCAATCCCCCTTTCCCATTCTGAAGTGTGGGGATTCTACCTTCCTGCAAAGCCGGCTGAGAGCTGGAAAATCCTTCAGTTAATTAAAGAACTGTCCCCCGACCTGTGGAAAGATGTTCATTATGTGGATTACATCCACTC